CTTACTAGCTTACATGTAACACTAGCGTATAGCCCGTCAAATATGACGGGGCAAGTACTATCACCCACACCCCATAGTTTACCCTAATCTCACATTTCATAGCTAACTGAAATAAATAAATTATAAATTTTGCGAAATCAAGCTTGACAAGCAAAGTGGCAGAAACGTATAGTCGAGGCAGTCAACCGTCGGTAAGTTCCTTTGTGAGCCAAACAAAATTAACAACTTCTAATATGTAGAAAAGCCAGTGCGTTTTGGTAACACTACGTTCCAGCAACAGCTTTTATGTCATGTTGCGTTACAACAAAAGTATCTATATAAATATAATAATATTGTCTGTTGTATGTCCAAGTAACTACTTCGCAGGATGTCAATGGATCTTCACCCAAGTTAGTATAGAGGTTCATTACGTCAATGCAGAAGTACATACAAACTTTCAGTTTTGCATTTTGCAGTTTTTATGTGCGTTTTTTACCACCACTTCATCCCCTGTTAATGGATCTTCACCAAATTTGGCAGGAAGGTTTGATGGGTTCATCGATGCGGAAATACAAGCAAATATGTGGTTTCACATTCTGTGTTTTGTAGTTTTTATGGCATTTTTGCGTTTTTTTTTACAGTTACATATAAGGGAAGCAACTTTTCATGTCCTAATATAACCTTTCATTAATCATGAAGTTACATACGGGTACTCCAGCTAGTTTAATATATATATAGAAGAAACAAGTCGACTTTTCAATACCCACACGACCATCGCAGTACCTTATTTAGTATTCTACAAAGGTGTTGTCGACAAAAATATTAAACACGCCGAAATAACAATTAAAGAAAGGTGTCTAAAGTAGTTGGAAGCCTTTTGTCAGTTTTGTTTTTTTATAAGCTTTACACTGCACCATGCACGATAAACTTGCACACATAGGCTCAGTACGTAGGTTTCTGAAACTAAAATGGAAACTCGAACTCATATCACTATTGGTTAACAATAAATATTCTAAAAATATGATATGAACAAATACAAACGGAAAAAAATGACTATCACTATTGTTCTCTTGACAAGAAAGAAATCCTAGTTTGATTATTCCATATGTCAGGAAAATATAACTTTAGAATGAAAAACAAATTACTCAAAATATAACATTATAACTCAAAAAAGCTACTCAAAATATAACTTTAGAACTAAAAAAAGTTATTCAAAATGTAACTTTAGAACTCAAAAACCTATTCAAAATATAACTTTAGAACTCAAAGTTATTCAAAACAACGGACATGTTGAAAAATAACAGCTATTGATCGTCGTGGGAAAATTTTGAAATCCAATTTAGTGCATTATTCTGTCAGTGCTAACTCGGTTTTCAATAAATAAAAACAATTGTTTAATTTTATAACATGGATTACTGGAGTGTGTCGACGAAAGTATATTCAGTCTAATGAAAGAGATGTGTTCTATGTAGGATAGACGGGAAGTAAGCTACTCTTCAGACTCACTGAACATGTAAGGTTAATTCAGCAAGTCAACTTCTAAGCCAGTTCCCTTTTCTACAACAAACTTAACCTCATCTTTAACAGAAAGAATGGGTGACTGTTGTAGTAAACATTGTTTTCATAATGATTTTTCGCTTTGTTTTGTCTGTGAATTATCGCACAAACATTGAATATAAATTTATTATTATATTTTTGCTCATTGATCTGAAAACGTTCTATGTGTTTGTTTTTCTATTAATTAGTTGTTTGCAGTATTTGGCCAACTTATACAGAAGGTCAAACGTGCTTTAAAAGAATTTTGTGCATTATGTCACTGCAGATGCAAGCTGTGACATGTTTAGCGTTTACATATTTGGCTTATGACGAATTTCTAGCCATCCAACAGTGTAATCCTCTGTATACTTATCGCTGAAGAACTATGTCACAGTTGTTTTGGGAGATTTTTACGGCAAGCTTGTTAAACGATATAGAACCAAAATACGCAACATTTTGGACAAGGGAATCTTCAGTGTTCTTTCTCCACGGAAGTAGAAAATAACTCGTTCAGCAAAGTGTTTAGAACAGCAACAGGATTTATGACCGCGTTTCAACCTATTCCGAAGAAACTCCCTAAGAAACCGTTATGATGAAGCTGAGCATATATTTTGGCGCCTTAAGAAGACACTAAATATCTGAAGTTGACGAAAGCTCACAAGCTACAAGTCATGCATTGAAATCAGCGACTGCTTTCACGAGAAAGATAACGCAACAAAAACTGTAATCCCAACAGCTTAATATTGTTGCGAATTATTAAATAGCTTGCCTCAAATTATTTACGTAGGCTAGGCTAAAGCGCTGTCTTGAAAAAAAACAAACTTATAGGTGTTATCCCGGAGTTAAATAATATATATTTCTACGGAATTACAACGCTAAAATCCGGAGTACGATTCCCTGCGCTAGACACATTGTGTCTTTCTTTTCAGTATTAGTACATTTATGCATTTTACATGTATTGTTACATGAAAATAAATAAACATCGACCCTCTGTTCAGGTAACACCCGGGCAACGCCAGGTAATAATTTGATAACAAGATAGAAAAAACTTTACAAAGAAACGGAAAAAAAATACATTAAACTGAAAATAAATAATATTTAAACAAATTTACATCCTTCCTTGTTAATTTTGCAACTTAAACACGAATAAAATGATTAATTAGTATTGTTACGTATCTGCTTGTTTGTTAATTTCCGGAAGAAATTCTTTCTGAGAAACTTCAGCGATACAAGTCCTTTCTTGGTTAAACCAGTTTATTCTTCCTCGATACAACCTTTAGTACAATATAATTTCACAACCAATACGTTTCTCGTCACTTTAAACTTAACTACTTTGATAATACAAGCTATAAATCACAGCGA